AACAAAAAAAATAAATTAACTGTAACAGGATTTGCTTGAACTGCCAAAAAGAGAGAGAAGAAAAACTACAGGTTTTGTAATTTACTTCCAAAATAATAAAATACAGGCACTTGCTTTAGCTTGTAGCTGCTTCTAGAAATAGTTTATTTAATGCCACATTTATATGACGTTACTGTTTGACGCTGTTACTTTATATATTAAAAAATTGTGAAAGCAAAACATCCACAAAGAAAATATTCTTCATCACCTTTCTTTAGTTTGTATGAAAATGCCGCTTTCAGTCCTTTCTGTTAAAGACACTGTTCTGCTCTTAAGCAATTACTGACAACACAAAAGGGTTTAAAGGTTTTGAAAAGCGTACAGCGGTAGGTTCCCTTCTAGAACTGGATTCCAGGGTGGCTTTATAGGATGAAAGGTAAATGGCTGTTTGATATCTGGATGAGTGAAACAACTGTCTAAGTAGGAGTTAATTAAAGATTTTATTAGTGGTGAAGAAATCAGAGTTTCAGGAGGAAGTCAGTATATCTACAAAGGCAAAGGTTGGCAGGAGATTGGTGCTTTCTTCTCTGTTATTTCACCTCCAGGATAGTGTGGAGATAAGGCGAAACTCTGAGAGTGGATCGGTAGGGGAGGGAACAGAGCTCAACTTTAAGGCGCCCAGGGAAAAGGACCGCTGTTGGAAGAGCTTTGAGGAGATTTGAGGCAGGGAACTGGGGGACACTTTACAAACAAACACTAAGAATGAGAAAGCCAGTAATATTCTGAGACAAGTCAGTATCAATAGACAACAGTTGGTAAATACCAGAACCTACCTCCTTACCTTGTGATTTCTCTCTCATTTCTCTTCATAAAAGCTACGTCTAGCCTGGTGTTGTGTTCAGCTGTGATGCTCTTCTGAAGTTGGGCAGCGGCTTAATGGCTGCCAACTTCCTGTTCTCCTTCCATAGATAATAGGCTTTGTCCTTTCTGGTAAATTTTGTCTTTCCTAAACATAACTACTGGTAAACATGGGACTAATGATGCGTTCCATTTCATCTCCTAGACATGAATCCTGGCTCAAACCTAAATATCTGTATCTATCCTGGATCAAGCCATTAAAGGAGCTTCTACTGCCATTGACTATTAACTGTTCCCTCACATAGAAAGTACTCCTGTGCTGTTCTGAGCCTGGTTCTTCTGTAGATTTCTTGCTGTTAAAGGGGAGCTTTTCCTCTCCACTGTGGCTACATGCATGTACATGAGGGATTGCTGCTAAGTGAACAAAAAAAAAATGCAATCAATTCGCAGCTGTCCTTTATGTTTATCTGGGATTAAACTCTGCAATCTTCTTGATTTCCTACGACAGAAAACTGTGTAACCAGTCTTTATATACAGTTTGAATAAGTGGACCTGTAATGTGCTTTGATATTATATGAACTGGTCCATTTTGTATTGCTGTTACCGTTTATAGACTTTTTTTTTTTTTATTCATTTTTATCACTGCTGCTTACCTTATTGCTTACTGGGTGTTAGACACTTAGTGGATGTGAATATGATTATGGCTCATATTGTCATGATCGGTTTAAGAAATCTGACCCACATGCAGAGAAACCACTCAGAGAGCACGAAAAAGGTTTAACAGGTTTATTGGAGGAGTTACAGGTGTGGATCTTGAACTCAGTGAGCTGGTGAACAGGAACTGGAAGTCAGAAGGGAAGTTCAATGGTCAGTTCAGCTTCCGTGGGAATCTTGCAAGCTCAGATATTAAGAGTCATAGGAACTCACATTTGAGGGGGGCCTTGTTAGTCCTTGAATCCAGACTGTGTGGAGAATCCACAGTTAGAAGCACACGTAGGAGGGCAGACAGGTTGGACCAGCGTTGGACCAATGGAAGGAGCAATGGAACGGACTGTCACCCGGATTTCCGATGGGTACTTGAATGGAACATGTGGAGGTTTTCCCCTGCTCAACGTGACTCGTTTAATCCTTATGGTCCAGGTATCCAGTAACACAGGAAAGCTTCCTGCTGAGGAGCAAAGACAAAAACACGTTAGACTCAGAGAAACAAAGCTAGATTAGACTCAGCTAAAGTCAGCTTGGCTAGAGTACCCAAAACTGGCAAACACTCTGGCGTCGAGGTAGTGACAGTCCACTGCTCAAATACTCCTCCAGATAATGATCCAAACTAGCCGCAGGTGTGCAGGGAGGGACAGCGAAGGCAGGGCACCTCCCGATGAAGGGAAAAAGGAGGCACACAAACAGGCCACACAAACTGGATTTCTAACACATATAAGCAAAACAATCTGGCATCTGCTTCATGGAACCAAGGACCTTCTGATGAGCTTCACCTTCACTGGAGCTCACCTATGCTTTTCATTTTTTCACTTTTGAGAAGTCAGAGAAGAAAACTGTTTTCTGTCCATCTTGGCGAGCTGAGATTGTACATTTAGGAGAGGGGTTATTATTATTTGAGTTCATCATTGGATCGTTTGTAGAAAAAACATTATATCAGAGTGGATAAAACTGTGAAATAATTAAATAATTTTACTATTAGCTCATGCTGCCATTAGCTTCCTGAGCTAATCTGCAGCAATATGAGCCTCTTCTCTAGTTGTTCTGTTTTAAGTAGCAAAAGAAAAATTCATACAAAGAAAAAAAGAGATCATTGCTCATCATCAAGCTACTGTCAGGGAGATGCCCTCTCTTTATTTTTTGTTTCTTTGCCTTTGCAGTTGTTTCCTGTCAGGGTTTAGTTCTTTAGTGGCTCACAGTTGTTTCCTTTCCCCTTGGCTTCCTTCACTGGAAAAACTATCTAGAAATAAGTAAAAATGTCTTAAATTACATGTATTTATTTAATTTGAGTAGGTAGATGAGATAGTTTGCCAATGGAATGAGTATTTTTACTCTTAAAATAAGATAATTACATAATATACCCTTGAAATAAGACAATGCAATTGTGTTTTTCTTATTTTAAGTTTAAATTGTCTTGTTCCATTGGCAAAATGTCTGTTTTACCTCCTCAATCCAAGAACAAATACACTTATTTTAAGAAAAAATTGCTTATCTAGATTTTGATTCTTTCCATTGTTCTAGTTAGTTCCACTCACACCTGCTCCATATTTAGCTCATTAGCCTGTCCTTTGTTTTGTTCCCCATATATACTCCACATCTGCAGTCACTCAGTGCTTGTTTGTGGTTGTTTTCCCTGACGTTTCTGATTTTTGGGTTCTTTGCATTTTGAATTTTTTGATATTTGCCTCAGTTGCTTCATTAAATCTGCAAGACACACCTCAGCCTCCTGATCTCTACATTTGGCTCCTCATAACTCTCCACTCAACCTTGACAGCTACATGTTGTAAGATGTGCAAGGTGTTAGTCGACAAATACTAAATAGGCTACTTCATACAGACATCATGTCTATCACAGATGTTCTTCATGAACTGGGATGGATAAAGGGAACTTCAGACTCATGCTCGCTGAGATAGTCTTGGATGCTATGCTGGTACACAGTTTAAAAGTTAACTCTGGGGTGGTGACACATTTTCTACTGACATCAGGTGAGGCAGTGCACACCCCCTTTTAGTGTTTTTATATTGTAAGGTAACCATGATTGGGAACTATTTGTTCATTCTCAGCTCAGCGCTGATATCTGTAACCATTTCTGTGCCTTATTTATATTTAGGTGTTAAAGTGTTTTGAGAGTCATCTCTTATGGATTTTTCTATTGCTTCTGGGGGAAAAAAAGAAAGGAAAAAACACAAAAGGGTCCAACTACAGACAATCCAAAAATAAGCAGTCCAAGAAATTATCCAAAACTAAACTAAACCACTGCAACACATTTTCCACCATCTAGATCAAAGCCTTTCTACCAACACCCTGGTTTTCCAACAGGCTTTTAAGAGACGTTTCTGTCTAACTTTGGCACTATTTATATCAATATTGTTAAGCTAATATTGCCGAGTGTCATGTTTAATGCTGTGACCAACATGCCAAGGCGGTGAGAACAGCAGCATATGAGCACACATCTCACCGTTATCTTTCCAGAAGCTGCATGCTGAAGATTATGAGGAAACCTGTCAACATGGGGTGCTAAAAATATTCTGGGTAAGGACATCCTGATAACAAACATCCATACAGACCCTTCTCACTTCGGGGATTAATAGAAGAAATATAAAGAATTTCATTTACTCAATAAACTATTAGGTTCTTCTCTGAAAAGCTGCAAAATGATGACACTCCCTAAATGACTTGGAGTCATTGTTCCTCACTTTGTTATCAGGGAATCAGTTGGTGGCTAAAAATACACTGTAGTGTACCATGAAAAGGATTACCTCTGCAAATCATGTGAAAATATGATTAACCTGTATAAAGAAACAATGAAAAAAAAAAATTGTTGAATTTTCTAAACATTTTTAATGTTAATTGTTTAAAAACTCTAAACATAAGTGCTTTATTGCAAGTAGGGGAAGCTTCAATCCTTCTTCTATATATGTACTGTAATCATAACAAACAGTGGATATTACTTCATCTTAAGGGAAAAAAAAATTGTTTCTGGTAGCAGATTTTTTATTTTGATGTAAAATTATGAATCCAAAACAAAAACTGCTGCTCTCTGGTAAGTATTTACTGCGCTTATCTGAAATCTAAGACTAATACTTCTTATACAAAGTATCTTCTGGAAAGCTAACAAATAGTTTTTACTAATATAAATCAAGAAAAACTATAACTTGTTGAGGTAAAAATGGATTTCTTAGCAGCCAGTTCAATCCAAATCAGTTTATTACCATTTATAGAAAGTATTGTAGACTATAGTTTCCTAATGTTTATAACATAATTTAACTATGTTATCGCTACAATATTTATAATTGATCATAATGCAATATATAAAAATCTGATTTTTACAGTAAACTTCCCAAAAAAATGACATCTGCTTCTATTTTAATCAGTGAAACTAAATGTTTGCAGTTGGGAAATTTAAATAAAATCATTTGTTCTCTGTAATAAAGGAGCTGGAATAAAATGATGATCCCACAACACGTATAAGTGTGCTGACACATGATGAACATGCATATGTCACTGCATGCTCACACCTTTTTGGTGCTAATCATAGCACTTTTTTTTTTTTAGCACATTTGGCCCAGCGTTGCACACCCACCACATCCACACATCACGTGTTAGTCAGACTCTCCTTCATCCTAGATTGATATAAAGCTTCAGTAAACATGAGATCAAATAGAAACAGGGGTCATCTGGGTAGAAAGTGGTGAGAAGTCCTGTATAAAGGTGGCAGCTGTGGAAGAGGTCAAGCCGCAGCAGCAAGCAGGTGAGTGGAAATCTACTCCTGCAAACACACGGCACACACTTGCTGCTCCTCCTCCCATGTGTTAGCTTTGTAGTAAATCCACAGGCTTTCACCACACACTCACAGTATTTTTTCATCTTCTCGCAGGCCAGCTGACCCTCCTGAGTTCATCTCCTTTTACTCAAAATGCAAACATTTGAAGTTTTCTGCATTCTCCTGCCACTTCTCTTTTCTGCTCATGCAGACGTTGTGGAACGTTTTGAGGTTTGTTTCCTTGTTAAAATCTTGCAAGTAAAAAAGAGTATTTGGCCTCAGGTTGTCAAAAAGCTTATGTTTTCTTATTCTTGCTGCAGGATGAACCAGAATGCTTGAAATACTTTTATAAGGATAAGGTGCCTGAATGGGGAGCCTCCACATCTGGCGCTGCCCGTCTGTGTCAGCGCTTCGTCAACAGGTAGTAACACTAGTAATAAGTTAGACTTAGACAGATTTTATTTTGTCATTTTGTACACACATGTGTAAACAAAAACAAATTTTGTTTAGTACAGCTCTCTAGACTATTTCATTTTTTGAAACTGCAGCCTTGATAAGGTAAGCAGCGGTGATAAAAACATTTTGATGAAAAACAGTAATGTAAACATATGTGTCATGATTGGTTCTGAATCAAACCCACATGCAGAACACTACCAGGAGACAGATGAAAAGTTTAACAAAGTTTATTAAATGTTTGCACAGAAATAAGACTGCGTTCAGGAAACAGGTCCGGGCTGGATTCTCAGGCGTCTGCAGAGATGACAGTTTGGTTAACCAGGTAGATAGGAAGCGTTGTTTAGTTTTCAGATTAT